CCCACCCACAAAGCCATGTTGGTCACTACCAAAAACAGAGGGTTTACCTGGCTTGAATTCCTAGATAGCCAGTCTCTAGGACTAGTCTCAGACCTTACCCAGGCCAGTATCCTTGATGAACATAGATGCAGAAAGCCTCAATAAAAGCCTAGCAAGCAAAATTCAAGAACACGTTGAAAGAATCATTCACCATAATCAGTGGAATTTCTCCTTGGAGGTAAAAATGGTTCAACATATGCATATAAATAAATGTTATATATCACATTAGCATGAATGAAGGACAAAAACCATTTGATCATCTCATACCATTATCTCATTAGATGCAGAAATCACGTCACAAAATAAAACATCCATTCATAATGAAAACACTCAACAAGTTAAGTATAGTAGAAATGTACCTCAACATAGTAAAAGCCATATATGATAAGCCAACAGTTAATATTACACATGGTGAAAAATTGAAACACTTTCCTCTAAGATCCAGAACAAGACAAATATGCTCACTCTTACTGCCTATATTCAACATGATAGTGGAAGTTTTTGCCAGCGCAATTAGGCAAGAGAAAGAAATAAATGGCATTCAAATAGGAAAGAAAGAAGTTAGTTTGTTGCTATTTGCTGATGATATATCATATATAGAAAATCCTGATGCTTTCATCAAAAAACTGTTAGAATGAATAAATGAAAACAGTAAAGTTGCAGGATACAAAATCAATACACAAAAATCAGTAGTGTTTCTATACAATAACAACAAACATTTCAAAAAAGAAAGAGAACAATTGCATTTAAAGCAGCTATGGTAAAATAATAAAATTAACCAAGGAGGAATAAATTAAACTAGGGAGGCGAAAGGTCTGTACACCAAAAGACTTTAATACATTAATGAAAGAAACTGGAGAAGACACAAATGAATGGAAAGATATCCTGTGTTCATAAATGTTAAGATAATTGTTAAATTGTCCATACTACCCAAAACAATCTACAGATTTAATGCCATTCCTGTCCAAATTCCAATGTAAATTTTCATTTTATGAAAATTAAATTAAAAAATTCTAAAATTTATATTGAATTCCAAAAAACTTCAACTAGCCAAAGCAACCATGAGCACAAAGAACAAAGCTAGAGGCATCACATTGCTTGATTTCAAGCTATATTATGAAACAATAGTAATTAAAAAAGAATGATGCTGACATAAAAATAGACTAATCGACTAATGGAACAAAATAGTGAGCCCAGAAATGAACCCATGCATGTACAGTCAATTGATTTTTGACAAAGGTACCAAATATACGTATTGGGAAAAGAACTCCCCAATAAATGGTGTTGAAAAAACCTGTATATCCATATGCAGAGGAATGAAATTAGACCCTTATCTCACTTCATATACAAAAATCAACTCAAAATCAATGAAAAATGTAAGACCTAAAACTGTAACATTACAGAATAGCTATTAACAGGGAAAAAGCTTCATGACATTGGGCTGGGCAATGATTTTTTGGATATGACTTTAAAAGCACAAGCAACAAAAGCAATCATAAGCAACAGGACTGCAACAAATTAGAAAGCTTCTGTATGGCAAAGGAGTCAACACAGTGAAGAGACAACATACTGAATGGGAGAAAATATTTGTGAACCATACATCTGATAAGGCATTAATATCCAAATACGGAAGCAACTCAACTCTATAGAAAGAAAACAACCTGATTAAAAAATGGGCAATGTGGCTTGGCATATACAAAGGGAAAAATGGGCAAGGGACTTGAACGGGTATTTCTCAAAATAAGACATACAAACGGTCAACAGGTATTTGAAAAAATGCTCCATATAACTAATTATTAGGAAAATGCAAATTAAAACCACAATAAGATATTACCCCACACCTGTCATAATGGCTAGGAACTCTTGTACACTCTTGTTGGGAATGTAAATTAGTATATAATTATGAAAAATTGTATGGTTGTTCCTCAAAAAAACATAGAATTAGCATGTAATACAGCAATCTGGGTATTTACTCAAAAAATTTGAAATTTAGTATGTCAAAGAGATGTCTGCACTCCTATGTTCATTGCAGTACTATTCACAATAGCCAAGTTATAGATTAAGTGTCCTTCAAGAGATGAATGGATAAAGAAAATGTGATATGTGTGTGTATATATATGTATAAAATACACACACACACACACACCATGCCCTCACACACGCAATGCAATACTATTAAGCATTAAAAAAGTTTTTGTCATTTGTGTCAACATAGATAAAATTAGAAAACCTTATGCTAAGTGAAATAAACCAGACAGAGAGGCAAATACTGCATGTTCTTACTTATATGTGGAATCTAGAACAAATGAACTCAAAAAAGCAGAGTACAATGGTAAAGTGTTAGTCTTTTCTGTTGCCTATAAGAGAATGCCTAAAATTGGGTAATTTATAAGAAACAAAATTTATTTCTTATAGTTCTGAAGGTTGGAAAGTCCTAGGTTGAGGGGCTACCTCTAGTGAGAGACTTTTTGTTGGTGTTGACTCTCTGAAAAGTACTAAGGCAGTGCAGGGAATCACGGGGTAAGGGGGCTGAGTGTGCTAATGTGTAACTCAGGTCTGTCTTTCTCTTCTTATAAAACCCTGCCTCCCCATGATAACTCATTCATCCGTTAACTCATTAATCCTTGAGAGGATTAACCATTAATGGGGGCAGAGCCTTCATGTTCCAATCACCTTTTGAAGGACCTACCTCTCAATACTACCATGTTGAGGATTAAGTTTCAACACGAGTTTTGGAGAGGACATTGAAACCATTGCAGGTGGTGACTACAGGCTGGGAGTTGGAGGAAATAAGGAGATAATGGTCAAAGGGTACAAATCCTCAATTATACAGAAGAAATAAATTTTTTTTCTTTGAAATATATTAGACAGCATGGTGAATATGTTACTGATACATCAGAGGTTTTAGTCTAGGTCCTGCTGCTCACTGCACAGAAAGTCAATGACTGAGATGATGAGTAATGCCAAGAAAGAAGGCTCTAATCGAGTGCTACCACTGAGGATATGGGAGATCAGTCTTAAATCCATCTCCCTGACCTGCTAAAACTAGGGGCTTATATAGTAGGGAAGAAATGTAACTATGTATGGGAAACAGGAACTGGAAAGAGGTAAGAAAGCAATTGATGATGAATGAGTGGCCTGGTGCATCATTGAGTGGATGTGGTAATCTTATGAGTTTCAGTTCTTTGGTACTTTTTGAGAGGCCTGGAGGTCTTCCCCTGAGGAAGGAACTCCAATAAAACAAATGTAGATTTCAAGCTTTAAGACCAGAAGGGTCAATTTCTATGTTTATCCAAAACAAACAAACAAACAAACAAACAAAAAAACTGTCTATGGGACTATTGGTTTGGCTTCAGTCTCCCCTTTCTATTTATCAGTGCCTCAATCATGGGTAATCTGGCTGTTGATCTTTCTGGCTGGTTCATGCTAAGGAGGGGCATTGTGGGTAGCTCCACACCATGAATGGCTCCCCAGGAGTCAAAGGTTGATCTAATACTATCATTATCTTCTGAAACACAATCTTTCTGTCTCCAGTTCACCACTTTTACCAAAGACTAATCTCAGCAGGACCAGTCTACCTGCAGAATAAGCTTCAGTCTCATAGACTTGGCCTGATTATCCAGACAAAGTGTGGCAAAAATCATTGTCCAAATAGGCTCTCCTAAATTGGCCTTGCTGGAACCTTTCACAGGTCATTTCAGACAAAGTCCTGGGGAAATAACCAGTTCCTCTAATTGTGTCCAGTTCTAAAACCAAACAGATTCTTATTGAACTTATGCAAACAAGCACATTGCCATGAATGAAGTATATTCACACATAATTTACAAATTCTGGAGAAATTAGAGTAAGAAATGTGCCTCAAATTCTGTTTACTACAGTATACTGTACTCAATTGCTAAATGCTACAGATAGCTCAAAATATAAAAAGTTCTCCAGACTTTCAAGAATCAGCAGTGTTCCAAACAAAGCCATAAAAATGATTTCAGTCCCCTATTAGTTCAGTCCACACAATCAACTCCCGTGTCTCTTGAAAGCAGTTCATTTTGATTATCAGCTTCTCCTGGTTCTGAAGATAAGGCTTCAACTGGTATCAGTGCTCAAGATTTAGCAGGGGTCAGTGCCTTTTTCAGACCCAGGAGTTAAAGCCCTTTTACTTAACAGAACAAGGATTAGTTAATAGAATATTTATACTAAAGAAAGTCCTGTTATTCTAACATGTCACAAATTAAAACACTGTGATTTGGTGTTCACTACTTACTGCCTGCAGCACTTCATATTGTTGTATTAAAGTGATTAGGTTATTCCTTGCATATACCTAATTACTAGGATTCTGGTGACAGAATTGTGATAAAAAACACCAAAAAGTGATAGGTCCTGTGTCAAGCTTATCAAAGAAAGACAACTAACTTTTCTCTCCATCATTAAAAAATGGCAAATGTAAATATAAGTTTTGGAAATTCAATGAGGATGAATAATCTCCTTTTACTTAAGTATTACATAACAAAACAGGGACAAAGTAAGAACAAGCACACAATAATTTCCTTTCAGCTATTTAAAAGAGCATCATCACACATTTTCTTTTTTTTTGTATTTGAAATTTTTATTTTAAGCTGCAAAAACAAAAACAAGCAAACAAACAACAAATAACTTGAAAATAGGCTTGTCAAATGATATAAATTCATCTTTTCCAGGGAATCGGAAAGTAGATTCTACTACAAAGAAAAGAGGCTTAGTTAATGGAGGTTAAATTTCAAAGTACAGTTAAATTCAGGCTAACATCTGAAAATCCTGTTTTAATCACCTCGATGTGGTACCAATAACTATACTGAGTCAGGTTACTTTACAATTAACTATGTTACCTATAACACAATAATCCATTAACAATCTAATACAGTTGTTGGATGTGGTCATATTGGAAATTCTTAACCATACAGTTGTCTCGCCTTTTTTTTTTTTTTTTTAAATGATGAATTGTCTTAGTATAAGTCACTGCATTTCTGTAGCAAAGTAATGAAAGGCACAGCTAATCCAAGCAGACTTAACCGTTTTCAACAACCAGCTGAAAAAATACTTTGGTTCTTCAAGGAAAAAATTATGAAAAAGTATTTCTTTTAACAGTTGTTAATTTTCATAGCTGTACTCCAAGAGCTGCTTAAAATTATTCCAGAAGAACCCAATTATGTAGCAATGAATGAACATGCATGACAGAATTTGTCCATTCAACATATCTGGCAGAAAAACTAGTTAAAATGCTAGGTAGAACAAATTGGTCTTTATCAGTTTCCTGTCCTTTAAAAAAAATTACCTAGTCTACCAAGAAAGTACAAAAACATAAGGCTTTAAGTAAATAAAAGTTGTGTTTAGGCTATTACAGTGCAGATTATCCTCAAGGCCACATACATCCTGCTTCACTGCTGCTTGCACTCTGCTGGGTTTTGATCCTTCTTTGGGTCATAGTCCGGATCATTTTCCTTATCTCCTTCTTCTTCCCCTTCCTCATGTGCTTCTTCACCTTCTTCATCATAATTATCATCATCATCTTCAATAGCTTCTCCAGTAAATTATAACACTGATCTTGGGATTATATACTCATGCAAAAAGTGACCAATTTTGAAGTCTGCAGCAAGGATAGCCTCAGCATCATCATCCAGATCTCCACTCTCAGGAACTTCAGGAGGGGTAACAAAATTAAGGAAAGAGTCATTGGAAACTGCTCTAGTCACAGTACAAACTATTCCACATCCCTTGTGTTTCTGCTTCTTACTGGTTTTCAAAGTCACATTCTTTCCTTTTTTCCGATCTGTCTGGCACCCTTACAATCTGTAACTTCTGGTCCATCAAAAGAAAAGGGATCAGAATCATCTGGTTCTAACTTCATCCTATATGTCTTTGTCAGCACTTCATTTGTAAAATACTCATTGGGCTCAAAGTGAAATTCTAAGAGAAAACTCATAGGCTGGCCAGCATCTGAGAACTTCACTTTAATATCTTTCAAGTGCTTCAGGATAGGGTTATGTTCCTGAACCGTATCACTGAGCAAGTCAACATTCTTAAAAACAGTTAACCAAAATTCAGGAATTCCTTTGGGGGTCTTCTTTTTCTTCATTCTTTTTCTCATCTTCAATCTTGGCCTTTTCTTTCAACTCTGAAATCTCATCTTCAACTGGTTTCCATTCACATTTTTCTTCCGTAGGTTCATAAATTGCATTAATAATCTCAAATTGCTTATCAAATAGAGGCCAACAGAGAACAGGATACTTCCTTTCAAGATCGTGAGCTTCCTCATAGAATTTGGCTTCTATCTGTGCACATTTAACCTGCAGGTTTTTGAGAGCATCCACTTGTCTTTTAACTGCCCTAGGCAGGCTTTCAATGTAACCTGTTGGTATTTCTACCAGAACATCAAGTCTTTCCTGAAGGGCTGCAAGAATCTGAGGATTTTGCATCATCTGAACAGTTAGCTCTTGTGCTTTGATTTTTGTTTCTTCGTCAGTTTCTTCTTCTACTTTTTCAATGTCATCCAAATCTTAATTAAGTTCAGAGCATTGTTCTCTGTTGTTAATGTCTGCTATGTTATAAGAACTCCAAATATTGATGGCTAGAATATCGATTCTAGGCGGCCGGAGCAGCACAAGCAGTGACTCCGGGCGGCAGTGGCATCTGGAGTAGCAGGAGGCGGCGCTGCGAGCAGATGGTGCTAAAAAAGCCATCATACGTTTTCAAGATTGGTTTCTAGATACAGTAGTGACAACTGATTAGGTAACTTGCACCACTAAAATCTTCATATATAGTAAATAATAATGCATTGCACATTTCAAAATCACTGAAAGTTTCAAGTGTTCTCACCACAAAACATAAGTATTTGAGATCATGAATATGTTAATTAGGTTTAATTATTTCACACTGTATTCACAAATCATAGCATCACATTATGCTCCCTAAATATATATAACTATAATTTGTTAAACTACAATACAAAATAAAGATTAGAAAAATCAACCTGTTTTTTAAGGTCATATAAGTGACTTTCTGATTCTTTTCTGACAACTTGTTTTAATAGGAAGAGAACTCAAGAATATAGTGTGTGGAATCCAAGAAAGAGAACACTGGAGACATGGGAAGGGTTATGGGAGGGGAAGGATGTAGCTATGACTTGGAAGGCTGGGTTGACACAGACATGTTACCTACTCAGATATTTTACTTGGGTCAGCCAGTGTGAACTGCCAGTTTAACACATGGGGAAAGTAGAGCAGTGCATGTGTCAGCCTCAACCCTCTTATGAGGCTGCACATTTTGGTTTCTTTATTTTTACCAATTTTCTCTGGGTTATCCACATGGGGACAGAGCCACATGCATTATTCCTACCCCCTGACAGCCACACTGATCTGCCTCTCTTTCCATCTTTGAGGATATTCCTTAGAAGTCAAGGTCAAGTTGCAAGGGAGAACTGTAATTGGCCTGGTTTGATACCCTTGGGTCAAGAGGGAGTAAGGAAAAGTTGTCACAGTAGCATTCTTTCTTACTGATCACAGGTGATCCTATGCTGAGAGGAGTATGGTATGTTTTACAAGCTTTTCAAGAAGGGGCAAAACCAGGCAGTGAGAAAGCAAGCCTCTTCTGTCTAGTGCAAAATGTAGAGGAGCTGTGATAATGCGTAGAGCACGATGCAATACATTATAAGCACTCAATAGCTATTAATTGAGTGAATCAATGCTGTGGGTTTCTTCCCTCTTACTTGTCTTTATAGCTCCTTATTACTCTTTGGGTATCTGTAACTTATGCTGATGATGCCTACTGATGTCCTGATGTCCCTCAGTAACTTCTAGAACTTTTCCCAGTGTTTTTCTTCTCTGAAAAACTCTGGCATTTGAAGGTCTTACAATCCAATTTAACCCAAGTTACATACCACCTTGAACTTTTGCTGTGGTCTCATAAGTTAGGTAGAGTTTATGTGGAAAATAGAGAGGCACACCATTGGGGCCATTGCTGCTTTCCCACCCTGTTTTGACCAAAGAGTGTCCAAGGAGGTCCTATCTTCAGAAACCAGCAAGAGTCTTAGTAGGGTACATACCACTGAAGTGGTCACTGCTTAAGGGAGTTTCCTGGGCTGCGTTAGAGTTATACTTTTGTTCTTTCCCATTCTTTTCTCAAGAATGGTAGAAACTCCATTTGGAGAAGAAACCAGGTTTCTATCCACTCCATGGCTATTAAAAAATTTTTATATTTGGTTTACAGTAGAGGGAAGGGTGTCTGCTTACTCTTATAAGAAAGACTCTATCTACACAGAAGGGTACTTCCTGAGCCTATATAAAGTTTTCTCAATATGTTAGATGCTAAGCAGAGAGGTGGAGCCTGTGAAATATAGCTTTAATGAAACGAAGGGGCTAAGAAGCACATTTGGAGGAATTCTTTGGCCCAAACTGAAGAGCCTCAGGAAAATTTAAGTCATTCTTTAATTATGAAAGCACTGTTTAGGGGTTTTCAGTGCGTGGTCAGAACTTATGTCAGAATCATCAGGGAGGACTTATTTAAAATGCTGATTCCTGGTTGACTCTTTGCCAGTTGAATTCGACTCTTTAGGGGTGGGGCCAGGAAAATCTATGTTGTAAACTAATTTCCCTGATAATCCTTCTAAGGATCACGAAATAATGAGTGCTCTAGGGGCTGTCCTTTAAATTTTGTATTCTGAACTTGAAGAAAAGACTCCATATTTGTTACACTCATGATTTTAATGTTATTTTTGGTGTAAATAGTGTGGTAGGCAGAATTCTAAGATGAAGCCCAATGACTGGCCCCTTGTTAAGACTCTTTCCTCTTGATTTTGGGTTGGGCCTGTAGCTTGTGTCTAACCAGCAGACCATAGCAAAAATGGTAGATTATTACTTTTTGGATTATGTTACATTATACAGCAAAGGCAAAGGAATTTTACAGATGTAATTAAACCCCCAGATTAGTTCACTTTAGGTTAACCAAAAGTGAGATTAATTGGGTAGGCCTGACCTAATCAGATGAGCTTTTTAAGAGGAGGGTCTAGAGGTCAGAGAGAAAAGAAGCAGCAGAGACATATTCCTGCTGGTTTTAAGAAAACAAACTGCCACATTGTGGAGAGGGTCACATGGCAGGGGACATGTGCAGCCTCTAGGAGAGAGAGCCCAGTCCTAACAATCCTAAAACTTGGCTCTTGTCAGTAACCAGTGAGCTTGGAAGAGGAGCTCAGCCTTAGATGAGATTGCAGCACTGGCTGACATTTTGAGGCAGCTTACCCTGGGTCGAAGACCCAGTGAAGATGTGCTTGGGCTGTGTGTACTTAGACACATGGAAACTGTGAAGTAATAAATGTGTATTTTCTTCTGCTGGTGTTTGTTATACAGTAATGGAAAATTAATGCGTATAGTAGTGAATGAATGTCTTATTTTTCAAGCATTGTGAATTACATAAAATCTTCTCAGTTGCTTTGATGTCAGCAACATTGGTGTCCTGGTACCAGTTGGGGAATAGAAAATCTTTCCAAAAAGCTACATGGGGATAAATTGTTTTAAGAGCATCAGTTTACATATGTTCGACAACCATACAGACTATTTTCTGTGATCATTGTCTTGGAAAGAGCCTGCAATTCAGGAAGCCACATGCATCCTTCTTTTCTGCCTTTGTTTTCACTTTCCAATAAAAAAAAAAGGCATAAATTCACACCTCTGAAATCTTACCACAGTGAATCGTTCAGGGGTATAAAAATTTCCAATTCAATGAAAAATATCAGTTATGATGATTTCACTGATTAAAGGACTTTGTGACTTTCTCTTTTACATATTTCTGTGGGGTGAAAACTATGGCATTAGAAATGGTATTTCAGCTTCTGTGGCAATGCTCCCAACTCAAATATGTTGTAAAGCAGGGTAGCGGAAGCAATGACATTTTCTTATATCCCTTACTTGTCGATGAGTGCAATACTTCACCGGGAGAGGCACGTGAGAGGAGAGTGAAGAGAATATGCTGCGTGCTCTCTTCACTTCAGGATGCAGTCACAGAGCGGCTCTAGCCTGGTGTGTAACAGTGCCCACGACAGAAGGAAGAGACATAGCAGTAAAACGTGGTGGCTCCTAAAGATTATGCTTGGAATACTGAAGGTCAGAGGAGCCTTATTTTGTTCAGGTAGCAACCTCCGGAAAAGGTCTGTTCCAGTATTCTGTCTATGTTAGAATTCAGAAGTGAGAAGCTTGTTACAGGAACACTGTGTTAACAGTCACTTAGATTGAAAAATGAGGACAGACTTTTTCTAATAGAAAGCAAATACAGTTTGGTTGATTGGTTTTGTAATGACAACTGGCTTTGCGTGGTGGACACCTCCATAAATTGACAAAGCTGAGTCTGCAGTTATGAGGTTTGGGTGCATATATTGAATGATCAGATAAAAATATGTTTTCAGCTGGGCACAGTGGCTCACAGCTGTAATCCCAGCACTTTGGGAGGTCGAGGTGGGTGGATCAGCTGAGGTCAGGAGTCTGAGACCAGCCTGGCTAACATGGTGAAATCCCTTTTCTACCAAAAATACAGTAATTTACCTGGGCTTGGTAGCTCCTGCCTGTAATCCCAGCTACTCAGGAGGCTGAGGCAGGAGAATCGCTTGAACCCAGGAGATGGAGGTTGCAGTGAGCCGAGATTGTTCCATTGTACTCCAGCTTAGGCAACAAGGGTGAAACTCCATCTAAAAAAAAAATATGTTATTAAAAATATTTTGAGTAAGGAGTACTATAATTAATATAATTAACAATATTTTGATTTTCCAAATTCATTCTACATTAGATTACACAAAATGTTTTCACATAAAGGAGTAACAGGTATAATTATATATTTGTTGATAAGCCTCAGTAAAGCCTTTCAAAAAATAATTCTCTGAAGTTAACTAAATGAGTATAGTGACTAAATAATGAATAATTTTAAAACTCAGTTATTTACAATTCTTAGGTTTTGACAGAATTAAAGGAGAATCTAATTGTCAGCCAATGAAACATTAAAATAATTTTTGATGGATTACAATATAACTTTGGACATTTAAGTCAGAAGCACAACTTTTTTCATTCTAATTTACTTATCTATGTGAAGAATTTTTTAATTGCTTACATCTATAAAAATGAAAAAAAGTAATGGATTTAATTCTGAATGAGTTTGAATGGGTGACTAATAATACCAGAATTCAACTTTGTGGGGAAAGTAAAATGAAAAATACAGGCTCTAGACCAAAAAGAAATGATGTAAATTTTCCAAGTATCAAAGAAGACTTGTTTATGTCATTTTAAAGCACAAGATAGTTCGTCTTATGACTAGATATTTTACCCAATTTGGCATGTTTAAAAGAATGACAGAATAGTTTTATTTAAATGGTTAATTTTTACAATGTGCTGTGACAACTTTTGAACATTTTTAGGCATAAAATGGAAAGTTTTAGCTGTTAACTTTAACAGTTTAA